ACTTATAGAAAACAAAGTAGAACTACAAAATCTTGCAACTTTCACTTACTAATTGCTTAGGTCGCCGAAACACCTTCCGACCTTTCAAAACCTTCACTTTCTCAATATTTTGCATCGTTGCTCAACACTAATTCAAACTAACAACGTCTTAATGGCATACCAATAATAAGTAAGGTTTGTAACAAAATTTTATACAATGAATCATGATAGAAGACACTACTGTTAATTCCATTATAAACTAACACAACCTTAGCTTCGTAACAGATGTGCTACTGCAATAGATTGCAAGACTTGTAGATAATTTTTTTTTAGTAAATCATGATAGAATTCACGATTGTAATTCAACACAAATTGAACAAATTGACTCAACCTTAACCACGTACTATGTGTCACGACTGTAAGTTTTGTAACAAAAATTTTTGCAGTAATCATGGAATTCACGACTGCTTAGTTCCAATATGAACTAACTCAACCTTAACCACATAATGTCACGAGGGCAAGTTTTACAGCAGATCATGACAGAAATCACGACTGTAATTCCATACAATCTCAACATATACGACGTGTTACTATAATTGGTATAAGTCTGTAGCAAAATTTAATATAGAATTCACGACTGTAATTCCAATACAAACTGACTAAAATTTAACTGCGTACTGTGTAGACGACAGCAAGTTTGTAACAAAATCTTTTATAGTGACAGGTAAATCATGATAGAATTCACGATTATTAATTCTAATACAAATTAATTCAACTTTAATTATATACTGTCACGACAGCAAATTTCATAACAAAAGCTCTTGTGGAAAACTATGATAGAAATCACTTCTGTAATTCCGATACAATTAATTCCAACACATACGATGTAAGTTTTGGAGCAATTTTTTACAGTAAATTATGGTAGAGTTTACGACTGTAATTCCAATACAACTTTAACTACATACTGTGGAGCATGAGCATGACAGCAAGTAAGTTTCTTTTATGTAACAGATAAATAATGTATTATTCACGACTGCAACCTTAATTGAATACTGTCACGACAGCAAGGTTCATAACAAAGGTTTTTATGCAAATCATAATAGAATTCATATACTGTGTAGCATGATAGCAAGTAAGTTTCGTATCAAAATTTTTATTGTAACAAGTAAATCATAGAATTTACGACTGTAATTCAATACAAATTAACTCAGCCTTTACTACTTACTGTTTGTCACTGCAATAGTCGATAAAATTCACGATTTTAATTCCAATACAAACAAGCTCAACTCTAAACACATATTGTGTGTACAACAGCAAGTTTCGTAACAATATAACTCACGCCCAATTCCACTCAAACCAGCTCAAAAATATACTGTGCCACACGATAATTTGGAGGCTTTGTAACAAAATTTTTTAGAGTAAATGAAGAAAAACAAACAATTAATGAAGTTAGAACAATTAGTGATGAAGCAACCTGAGCGAAAGAAATTGAACTTAAGAACTGTGATCATAAAGAGATAAGTATAAGAAATTCAGTTATTTTCAAAAAAATTGTTAATACGGGTAATGCTTTTGAAATAAAGTGAATTATTATTGTCAAAATATGCCGAATTATGAAAGACAGTTCTAATATAATTCAACCTTAACAACATACTATTGTACTATGTGTTATTGATAAATTTTATAACAAGATTGTTAGTTCTCTAATGCAAACTAATTTAGCTTTAACCATATATTGTGTCATCGTGATAGTTTTTAAGTTTTGTACCAAATTTTTAATAAATCATGATATTTTTAATAAATCACGATATAAATTATGATAATTCCATCAAAAATACTGTGTTATTACTGTGATAGCTTGCAATAGAATTTTTTTCAGTAAAACTAAAAATTACAATTTAATATATATATATAGTTTGGATAAGGAAATTCTCATAATCTAATTGGCCGATATGCTTTTCACATGACCTGTAATAAAGTGTCTTGTTTTTCCTTTACTATATACATAGAGTAATTACGACCTATTTTAAAACCGGTTTGGCAACTTTTTTATATTGAGGTAATTAAGTTACGACCTTATTACGTCAATATGTCTGCATCTTTATATATACAGTATATCATTCTGTTTGCATTATCTAGATGGTTATAAAGAATCTATTAATCTAAGTATTTAAAATAAGCAATTCAGATTCATGATTACTTACTATTAATTTTCATTTTATTCACGTAATTTCAGAGTGTATAAAGAAATTATTAGTTTAAGTGTTTAAATTAAACATTTAAGTTCATGGCATTTGCGTTAATTTAGTTGTGACAAAGAACCTAATTAATTTTATAAAACTTCTAGCGAAGATTTTTCAATAACTACTTGATCAAATTTTTTTACTTTAATTCCATACCTCTGTAGAATTAAAATAAAAAAGTTCATTGAATTTGGATAGATGGCTGTCAAAAAATATTCATTAGAAGTTTAATAAAAAAAAAAGAGTAGAATATCGGGGAAAAAACAAATCGGGTAAATTTTCTTTTTGAACGAAGATTTCTCGACAACCATCTATCATAAATTCATCATTATAAATATTTTAATTTGATTTATTTGCATAAAGATGTTAGTTAAAGTAATATCGAGGTTATTAGTACAGTATTTACACAATTTAAGTCATTAAATTCGTTAAATTTTTAGCGAACAAATAGAAAATTCTTATTATAATTACCTTTTATTCTATCTCATTCGTAATGATTTAATATGGAAGAAAAAAATCAATTATCAATGCAATATAAGAAGCATTTAGCTTTACGTAATGTCTCTCAATTGGGTTTACTTTATTGCATTATATTTGGTGAATAAATATAAAGACCATTTATTAATCGATGATTTGATAATTCGTTAAAATACAGTAATGTATGTATAGGTGTAAAACACCATAAGTGCGCTTTAGTAAAAGTGGTTTATAAATACAAATTAAAAAGCCAAAACTGTTATGGGTATCAAAAATTTACAACACTATTTCGAAACTCCCATGGAACGCCTTAAAAAAAAAAACAAAATCCCAGATTAAATATCCTTCACGTTCAAACACTTTAATCACAATCACTTTCGAATATTTTAATTATTTTCATTCATAAAAATTCTTAATTTTTTGTGTCTAATGAAAAACACGCGGAAATTTTTGTTGAAATTCAATTTTCTTGTTCTACTGTAAATTTTCTGATCTGTCCAACTATTCCTTTTACCTCTTTCAATTCTCCAATTATATCAGATTTTACTTCTTTCAACTCATTTTTTATGAAATCCGCATTAACATCGTCCATTGCTGCTCGATGTAATTGTTGTCTCCATTCCAGAATGGAATCTAAATGACTTTCATAGTATATTAAATGAGGAAACCATTCTGCGTGATAACGTTGTGAAGGGGTAAAGGAATATAATTCGATTTCGGTGATTAACTGGGCTCGATGACGCTGCCAAGCCGGACGACCATTTTTGAGAGACCCGCTGAATACTTCAATAATTAAACCTAGGAAAAAATATATATATTATTATGTGAAATTTTGTACAAAAAAATTCTAAAATTTTAACTTCTCATTAGATTACCAATAAGTACGTTTAGCAACACAATCACAGCTATAAAGTCTGTTAATTAAAGATGAAACGTCTTAAATTAGCACTCTCCAAAAAAAAAAAAAAAAAAAAAAACCAATATAGTGGCAATCATAAATAATGCAACACGTGATAATTTTTATAATAAAATATAGTAATTATTGAGCTTTCACTCTACAATAAAAATTTTTATTATAGAGTGAAAACTTCAATAGTTTTTGCATAAAAATTATCACGTGCTGCATTATTCATGATTGCCTATGTACATATACCGGATTTTTAAATAAACTTACTAAACAAGAAAATCATAAAAAGCAATGCCCATTCTGGGTCAAAAACAGTTACACTTTCCCATCCAACACCTAGAAATTTATATGTAGAAAATATTGCCCAAGGAAAAGTTGACCACCACAAATTTATTGGTTGACTTAGATCTAAGTGACCAATTTCTTGACCGGTTGTTGAGTTTGTTATTATGCCAGATAAATGAGGGATCGTTAAATCTTGATTATCTCGAATAAGTACAAACAATGCATTTGCAAAGCTCTGGTTGTGGACAAGAGATTAATTACTGTATGAAATTATAACTTTTTAATTCACGAATATAAGAAATCAAAGTTTATAATAAACCCACTTACAACAACCATGAATGTCAAAGTTAAAAAAAAGTTCGAAATCATGTTGGAATTCCTTTTTATGATTTCCAAAATTATAGAAATGAACATTCCTGGACCAGCGAATGCACGTGATAGAAGAAGCTAAAAAAAAAACAAAAAATTGTCAGTCACATCAAAAATAATTGCTTGCAATAAAAGTTTAATAACTTTTTTTAAAAAAAGCTTTCTAAATAAGATCTTTTAAAAATCTAAAGAATATATAGAGTGTGTGTGTGTTTTTTTTTAAAGTTATGGTTTTAAACCAATCATCATTTTTATAAGTAATGATTTGTAAAATTTTCAGATGTCCTGCATCATAGAACTTCATTTTTTTTAAAAAAAAAATCAATACAAACCATATTCATCCAGACAACTAAAATTGCATAACTTTTTAATGAATTATCTGGTTCATTTTTACTAATTGCTAATGAACAAGTAACTAATGGCAAGCTAAAACTTGCCAAATCCAAATAATTAAATATGCTTCTCCAATAGTTTTTCCATCGGCCTAGCATTTGACGAATTTCTTGAATTAAAAAAAATATTGAAAAGGCTATCACGACGCCAAATAAAAATAGTTTTAAATTTTCATGATCGTCAGGTACTAATATAGGGTAGATACTGACAGTTACGCAGAATAGAAACGCGTATATTAGATAAGCATAGAACATTAACAAGAATCTCTTGTGTGCATATTTCCCCCTGTTATTATCAGTTATATTAAAAAAAAATAAAAATAAGAAATTGAAAATAAAATGTTTAATGTAAAATTATGTGAATTTACCATTTGAATTTAATAATAGCCTCCATAGCAACTTCACTAAACATGTCCACTCGCCCATGTAAAGCCGCCTCAGCAAAAGGGCTTAATCTCTTTGGAGAAACATATGTTTCCCAAAAGTTTTGTATACGTTCTCGAATAGGTGCATTATCTTTAAGTTTTGGAGGTGCAGGATAAATACAAAAATCTGGCAATGGAACAACACAAAGTCTTGCTGGATAAGAAGTTGTCTGTGCAACGTTAGAGTTTGTGGAATGCTTGTTACCAAATGAAAATTTGGAAATTATTCGGTTTAACATTGATTGACGAATTGGTTCTTTTGGTAGATGCAAATTTTGAGAGACAGCTTTCAATCCTTGTTGAAAACTTCTTTCCTCGATTTTTGATGGGTCTCCTAAATCAGTTTGTAAAGTTCGAGTGGGAGTCTCCAATGAAGTTGTAAAATAACTCCATTCTTTCATTATTTTAATACATTTATCTGGATAATATTGATATAAATCCAATAATATTGCACTGACCGTCCATGCAAATCCGAGCTGCTGAATTTTCAAAGTATTTGATGACGGTTTTGATTTACTATGTGATGGCATATTACGATCATGTACGTGACGTATAATATAAGAAATCAAGTGATCAATAAGTTCAGATTTTCGAAACTTAATCAACAAAGCTAAAGCACTTTCAGTTCGTTCTTCATTATGAAATAATGGAATATAATGATCTTTTTTTAAAATTTCATCAACTATGTTATCCCATTTAAACAATATAAATTCTTCCATAGGATATATGTATTGATCGTCACCTAAAGATATTTTGTTAAATGACGAAGGAAATTTATCTATTGAATGTAGGATTAATTTCTTTAATTGAGCATAAATATCCCAATGCGAGTCATATGATAAATCTTCATTACGAAATAGACGTATAAAGTGTGTGGACGCGCACGCATCAATGAAAATCTGATACGCAAACTTATCATTTGTCGCAGGAAGTGGAAGAATTATTGTTTCAGAATTTGTAAGTTGTATTTTAAGATGATAAGATGGTTCATCATTAACATCATTTTCGTCATTAACATCATTTTCGTCATTTTCGTCAATTTCGTCTTGCAAAGTTTTCTGAGTCTCTAAAAATAAAGAATTGATACCAGCATTTTTATAAAATGGAACCGTCCACATGTACTGTAATTCAACTCTCATCAATGAACCTTTTGGTTTCGTTTTGTATATCTGAATACTATTATGTCCTGCCAATAAAATTCGATGTCCATCTTTATCTAACCATTTCATAAATAGATCGGCTGTCTCCCACTTCCTCCAAGGTTCAAATTTAAATTTACAAATCGTTTTTTCTTTTTTATGAATACAAATCGAACATATAGAGTTTCCGGCGAAATTTGGTTCGATCGATGAAACTAATTTTAACTTTTTGTTTGGAAGGAGTTGTTCTTTTCCAAGTAATAATTCTTCAGTGCTCATTTGATCATCTTTAAAATTATTATTGGGAAATAAAGGATATTTGACAACTTTATTTCCAATCGTATGGATAAATTGATCATCGAGAAAAAGGAGAGGTAAATCCATGTCAAGGTTCGGATGATTTTCTTCTTTAATCAATATTCCACTCCAACAATCCCATAATTGAACTCTAACATTACCACTATCCGTTGAACAAACAACAATTTGATCATGTTTGCTCAAAAATGCGATAAAGAATACTGTATTTGGAGTGTTTATTTCTGTTCTTAAGCCTGATGGTGTATGAAATATCACTGTGTTTACCATTCCAGGCTTATGAGAGAATCTAATATTTTAAAAAAATATATAAATTTTTTAATTTTATAATTTTAATAAAATTAATTTTAAAAAAATTAGTATAGCAAGTTACCTTGCTATCAATTCTCCAGATTCAGAGATGGCGTAAAGACAATCTTTAGGTGAAGAGTGTTTGGTATCTACATAAAACCATTGCTTTAAAACTCCATCCAAATTCCAAATACTTAAACCATTATTTTCTGGCCAAAGCATGTAACCTGAGCTAGTTTTTAAACTAATTGAAAGAATATCATAGCAGTCTATTAAAAATAAATTATTTTCATGACTATATCCAGGAACGGATTTGATCAATTCACCCAAGTAAACTTTACAAATAGGAGTTCCAAATTTTGTAGTGCATATGTATAAATTATCTCTGGTAAAGAAAACAAATTTTGAATCATGAATAAATAACAAAGGACCTAATATTTCCAGATCTTTTAATCCAGAAAATATATGAGGAAGTTCAAAATTCGAAGAATAAACAGCAAAAGATGTTATTGGTGTGGTAAATGATTTTACATTGTCTGGCGCCATTAAACCAAAATGTATAGCAGGATCCATATCTGGTGATTCTTCTTCAACAGAAATAATTTTCAATCTTGAAATAGCAACATAATATCCATCCTCAGAAATTGATAGATAAATTTTTGAATCTTGAATGTCTGATTGATCGAACCTGGTTTTTACGGCGAGCATTAAATTAAAATCATTATCACTACTATCATTAGTTACCAGAGACCAAACGGCTAAAATTCCATCATCTTTACACCAACCAGCAATAAATTTTTTTCCAGGAGAATAAGCTATTATACTAATATCTTTGACAATCGTAGCTGGTTGGACATCAATAGATATAAGATCATCTTCAAGTGCATCATTAGGATTAGGAGTAATTGACTCTGCCAGTTTTTCGAATGCACATATTTTCGAGTTTTTCGAGCTACTACGCCTGACATATTTAACCCTGTTTGATTTATTTAATTCATCCATTTCAAATTTTTTTTTACTTTAACTTGACGAGAAGATAGAATGATGGATGGCTCTTGTTGTTTTGTATATATATAATAAATTAATATGTAGGTATGTACGATGCAGGAAATCTTTATATATTATTGACATCTTTATTAAGTTAGTAATTTCAATGTGCTGCTTGCATATATGCTAAGATTGTCTACATAGCAGATAAGGAAGAATTGATTTTTAGGTTTTTGTAACGTATAGCAAGTAATCCAAATCTTTTAATAGAATCTTATTAAAAGAAATGATTTATTAAAAAGAAGTGATTTATTAAATAAGAAGTGATGTGTAAATATCACGAAGTGTATGGTTTATGCAACATAAAGACTTCTAGAATTCTATCCACAAAATCTTATATGTATCTCGTCGGTCAATGCATGCGTCAATGCATATGACGCATTATCAACACCATTTTAAAAGAATCTTAAGGGAATTTGCCGATTCATTATGTATATAATTTCTTTTTACTATTCCCTCCCCCTCTTAATAATCGTAATAAACGGCACTTCTCTAACAGTATAATCTAGTGCTGGAGGTTGATAGTAATAATGAGAGTTCTGTAAGTACCAGACACGAGAATATCATGTCTTGCATTATTAAACCATAGTGTCCGTACCTGGAACCCGCAGGGTCTAGTATAAAAACCGATTGTATAGAGTTTAATAAAGGAGGTCTAGGTATGGCAACTTGCAAATTACCTAATTATTAAATAGGCAATAACTAAATTTGAACATGAGTGTAATACCAATTCTTTTAATACGTAAAAACAACTAACCAAAGATAATAATAATGACAGCAAACTATATACCAGATACTGTATATACTGATAATATTTTTACGGTACGTACTACGTATTAAATTTCCGTATGATATAATAAACAGTTATGTATAATATATTAAAAATTTATCGAGATCCTGATATTTTTCCGGCGATCTTTTTATTAAAGATTTATAACCGGAGGTAGTAACGATAGTAGTAATCAGTTATGATGTAAGAAAGTGTCAAAATTCTTGAACAAACGGAAAATTTCCGACTATCAAAAATTTTCGGATTTCTTCATGCAAATTTGTCAAATCATAAATTCTAATTGTAACTATATATAATTTTTTAGTACGGTATATCGATTTATAATTATATATATATATATATATTTAATATCGAGAAAAAAATCAGAACACATGCCACAATTTTGTGCACCGTCTCTGATTTAAATTGTAGGCCTGTATATATACAGTTATAGAATGACAGAGAAAATATAATGCAAGCTAATTATTAGCACGGACTAATTAATTAACTGTCTGAGTCAAGACTGACGTAATTAATATAGTATGAATCGTGTGAATTTTTCTAATACGTCATTTTATTTTATATAATTATTTATTATATACGTATTAACGTATATCGCTCAGCTCTTACGTAAATAAATCGTCATTTATTTTCGTGTTTTTAAAATTTTTTAAGTTCCTATGAAAATTAAATATATATAAATAGGTTTTCCTAAAGTTTTTTTTTTCAAAAATTTTCATTTTCATTACAACAAAAAAAAAATGGCATCAGGACCTGTTGGCGGCGGATTCGCTCGAAGTCGATCACTTTTACGTTTTCTTTCAATTGATCCAGAAATTTATCCTTTAGTCGGAGTACTTGGTGCAATTACTGCTTTCGCTGGTTATACGGCTAGTCATAAAGTCTATACTGTTGATCCTGACAGAAATGTTTTGAAAGCTTCTCACGCATATCCTTGGCAACATCAACATAGTGATAGCGAAAATGGAAAGAACGCAAATTACAAATATAGGTATCATCAACATGGTGATCCTTCGCAGCCAGCATTTGAAGCACCAAGTGCTATTACAGAACATAAAATAAAAATAAAGGTATGTGTATTTATTTCTAGTTCATAATTGTAATAATATATTATTAGTTATATCACTTTTCTTATATCTTAGGCTCCCAAGGAATTATTTGAAAAAATTCCAAGTACTATAATTGCTGAAGAGGAGGGTTAAACCCAAATCTTTTTTTTTATTGGAATTATGACATTCATATATGGTTTGAATTGGGAATCGGGATTTCCATTCATTTAAGATAACAATCAATTATATATGTTCATTTTATAGTTTTCATAATTAATAAAAGCTAAATGGATATTCTGAATAAAAGTGATATGTTTTAAATCATTAAATATGTACATACAATAGTGAAGAATAATTAAAAATGAAAACTTTCCTCTAATTCGAGAGAAATGTCTTAATAAATATCGATATTCTATGTTCTCCATTGCTGATGAGCCCATAATTACTTGTAACAAGTAAATTGACTCGAAAGTAAAAGCTGAATCTTTGAAACAGTCAATCCGTTGGATCAATTTATTATTCTTTACCTTTTTCTTATCACATTAGACAATTTTTGCAAGGTTATGCAAGTCCGGTGTAGCGTAACAGTGCAAAAAAAATTTTTTACATATTTTCGCAAAATTTAAGTTCCAGGTTTAATATGGAATAACACAAATCTTTTGATAATATATACACTAACGTAATAATAATCTATTTATCATTATTAATATTTAAGCACTATAGCATACAATATACTATTACAACATCTGAAATTTTTATAAACAAGAACTCTTCCAGTAAATATATGAACCCTTACGAGCGAAACATATCAACTTTTTAATAAGATTAGCCAAACGGCTATATGATCCTATTGAAAAATTAAAACCTTTTGGAAATCCAATAAATATATACTGGAGAAGTGTGAGTTACAATTCTGCTGAGGAGGTTCATCATAAGGTCCAGAATATTATCATTTACCGCTCAGAAACCGACAAATTTTGTTTGTATGTTAATTAAATAATTAGGATAGATTTAGATTATCTAAAAATTAATTATAACTTTGATATTTTATTCAGCAAAAATTATGATCACTATAATATTTTTGATATGCAATACAGTAAAAAATGTCGTTCTTATATTATTATTATTATTATTATTACAAATAAAAAAATATGTACGCAATTCACTAATATCATATATAAGTCTATAGCCCTCAAAATTACTAGTCTATAACTTTTCCAGTCCAACCACGCCAAACTTCTTCAACAGTTTTGGCCTTTGTTTCCGGTACAAAACGTTTAATAGCAATGAAAGCCATAAATAAGTAAAGAGCAAAAATGAAAAATACATTTCCCCCTATTTGCTCATTTAATATTGGAAATAAAAATGCGACAAGGAAACTAGAAAACCAATTTAATGTTAATCCAAGACTTGCGGCAGTGGCAGTGGCTTTAGTATCAAAAATTTCGGGAATTATTAAAAATGGAATTGGTCCAAGTCCTATAGCAAATGCTGCAACGAAACCGATAATTGAAATGGCTGAAAGAAATCCAAAATTATTATCAAGACTCAAAGCTAAAATAGCACTACAAAGACCCATAAGTCCTGATGAATATAATAATAATGTTCTGCGTCCAGTTCTGTCAATTAAATAGGCTGAGACAACTGTCATAAATACGTTCACTATACTTATAAAAACTGTGATTAAATCGCTCATGGTTGGAAATATTTTAGATAAAATAGATGTTGAATAAAACATTACACCATTTACTCCAGATAATTGCTGAGTAAGTTGCGCAAGTATTAAAACTTTTAATGCAGGGAAATAGTGAGGATTACTTATAAGTTTCCAAAAATTAAAATTTTCATCAGAATTACGCGCGTGAAAGACGACTGCGGGTGACTCTCTAATTACATCATCATTATTTTCTAAATTTTGTTCACGTTCTTCCTCAGAAATAAGACCTTCTAATCCTTCTTCTGATGCCACCTGCCGCCATCCACTAAGTTCATCCTCTACCTCAATGGATCCTCTTAATTTTTGTAGGGCTCGCTTAGCCGAATTGTATCCACCAGGTTTAGATGCAAGGAAACGAGGAGATTCAACGGAAAACAAGAGAAAAGTCGTTTGAACGATTGACACTAAAAAGCCACTAAGAAGAATTAGACGCCAACCTGGTATGGTGGAAAGATAGAGACCTTCGACTTGGGAAAACAGTATGCCGCAAACAATGCCCAATTGATTCATTACACCTGGTAATAATATTAGTACCATTATTAAATTATTATTTTACACGTTAATAATTATTATTAATAACATATTAACATACCAAAGGTTCCACGAAACTCTAGGGTAGATATTTCGGCAAGATACGCGGGAACAACCACTGTTACCTTTGTATAATATATAAAAATTTTAATTAGATAAGCTATTTAATTTTAATTAATAAATCACCAATAGATCATCTTAAATCAATAAATATAAAAGAATTTACCACTCCGGAACCAATACCGGCAATTGCTCTTCCTATGACCAAGGCAGTTATATTTGTAGCAAATCCCATTACCAATGGTCCTAGAGCCAAAAATATTCCATTCAAAATCAAAGTTTTTCGTCTCCCTTGGCTGTCCGCTACGCGTGAAGCAAACAGGGACCCAACAAGACCTCCCAAGGTAAATACGGAAGTTACAAAAGCGAATTGAGCAGCATTCATCTTTATGCAAGGTGGAAGGTATTCAGAATCTTCCGGGTTAGGAATTTTAACACCCTGACATGACATTATACTTTGAGGTGTGTTTAGCTCACCAATCTATAAATAAAAATAACCAATATTGCTTAAAGAGTATTTTTCTTTTATTTTACATGACATAATTGAATAATAAGGAAAAATAGCAGAATTCATTACATGATAACCATATTGAAAAGAGCCTAGAACAGCAGCAAAAGAAACAAAAATGACGTATGGAGTGAGCCCCGACATTTTGACAGTCAGGAAAAAAAAAACAAATGAGTTTTAGAGTAATAAAGTCGTACATATTTATATCTAAAATTTTTGTATTTTATTTGTTTCCAAAACCGGATCAAACTTTAATTTTATACGACAATCATTATTATTGGTTAAGAATTACGGAATTAACAAGAATCAAAGCATAGCCATTTTGTTTTAGCCACCTGTGTCATTACTACGTAGAAAAATCAATAAACTTCCATGTAGAATTGAAATTTCATATTTGAACATATCGAGTTGGTTAAGTACTAAAGTCTTAACTAATAGTAAAAGATGAGTCCTCTGGTTGATAGATGAAAGCATTTTTCATAATGTCAATGTCAAAATCTCTACCAAATAAACATAAATACTGATGAAACGAGGATCGAATTTCTCGATATTAATCTCAGAGAAATAAATTTAGTTAGCTAAAAATTAAATCAATCATTACGGGTACATATTAACAGTTAATTTACAATCCGTGTAACATGTCAATAACCCAATTTTTTTGCATCTCGGGAGGATATTTTTTTGTTAGAAGCCAAAGGGTGGGTAGTTTCATAATATAAATTTTGAGATATTAATTGGCTTTCTATATGTCTGCGTACAGTCCGTGTACAGTCACTAAAGTTGGCAGGTAGGATTTTTTCGGATTTTAGCATTCAATAATATTCCTTAATTCGTGATCCGCCAGTGAACCAGTGAAATAACATAGTAAATGTTGGGGATAAGTTTACTATGTAAATTTTGCC